TTCAATAAAAAAGATTTCAAAAAACAAGGTTAATTGCAAAATTGTAATATCATACTGCGATTCTTAGCACATCTTTAAATATCGCAGTAGAATTTTATTGTGGCTAAAGTACCACTATAATATTGTGTGGTTTGGCCTGTAGAAAGTTGGATAAAACCTCATAATAACAGCTTTCACGTTATGCCACACACTTCAAATATATTCACAGAATTTTGCAGCTGCGAGTTTTCTGTTCTCTTCTAAGCAAAGAGAAACGCGTCTAAAGAACTGTTCGTGGTGATCGGCCACCTGCTGCAGATGCATCAAACAAAGACTAGGTTGAAAAATAATGAAGTATTCCTTTAAGGGGTTTCGCATGGCACAGAGCGTCACAATACAATATTGCTTATGTTTTAGCATTTTATTTGGCCGGGAAAGGGTGGGGGGGTGTTGAGTGTTGCTGTATTATGATCAGATTAAGTCTAAAAAGAGTAGCAGTACCTCTGCACCTCCTCAGGTTCGACGCACAGTGAGATATTGCTTCTTTTAAAGCGATGCTTAGGAGACGGTGAAGTCGTTTAAGGTCAAAGGCTTTCAAGTCTTATATTCTTTTGCGACAGAATCACACAGACACGCATTCACTTGTGTGTGTTATGAGCTCAGTGTGTGTTTGTGTGTGTGTGTGTGTGGGGGGGGTAAATTGCACAGGCTGGTGAGAGTGAGTCCAATAAGAGCACACGCGCACACACACACACACACACACACACACGCACACACATGCACTCTGCTATGAAAGCTGCTAAATTAGCACTAAAGTAACTCTAAAAATCTGTACAATATCTTTAAATACTGTATTTACAGAAATAAACATATTTCAGCCATCTCTCCCACTGTAATCTCCTAGAACAAAATAATATCAAGAAAACAAAATCAAAATTAAAAATAAAATTAAAATCAATATCAGTGTGCTCCTCGTTCTGCTGAGCAATGAGGATAAAGGCAACAAGCATATTGCGATGGCTATCTTTATAAACCCACCAGCAGCCTTTTTCTTTCACGGCCTCAAGTAAGGCGCACTTCAATTCACATTCCAGGATTCACGTTTTCAAAAAGTTCCTTTTTTCTCCCAGCACAACTTACTGACCAATCAGAGTAGGAGGTTAGTGATGTGATATGTGAAAATGTATTAGTCCTCATTAAAGGGGAATTCCACTGAGTTTTCCAAAATTCTGCATAATTAAGCAGTTAGGCTTTAAACAGAATCGTTCAGAGTGGTTTGGAGTGAAATGCTCTGTTCTAGAGAGTCAGAATTGTTCACAGTGGTGGTGATAGGAACCAGACGTCCACCTCTAAAAGCTCCCTCACAGAAAGTTATTACATGAAACGGTTATGAATTCACTGCCTGATGTCTGAGATGTTGTTTTCATGGTGGAGGGATACATACAGGGCATTGTAAAGTAAAATAGTCCCCAAAGAAAACAGATTATTTCATATTTTCCACTATTTTACCATCATCAACATTCCATATAACACTCAGAAAACATGTGTAGGTTCACTGGCGGCTTTGGATAGTAAATAAAATGGCTATATTTGTATTGTAATCATGGCGACCCCTGGTTCCTATCATCACCACTGTAAAGAAATCTGAATCATTTCACACCAAACCACCCGGAATCACTCTGTTTGCATCTCAACCACTGATTTGTGCAGAAATATTGAAAAAATTTAAAATTCCCCTTTAACAGAATTAACCATTATATATAGCTTAGATATAAACAGTGCCCTACACTGAATAACACTGGATATGCATGATGTGCTCAAAGTTCATGCAAATGGAGAAGATAACAGACAATTACAACTGAAAACAATAAAATAAACAATCAAAAATCAAAAAATAAATGTGTTTTGTTGCCGTAGTCACAGAGCGTTCCCATGCAGCTCCATTAGCACCAAGAGCAGGAGCCCGGTGACCGCAATAATACGGATGCTAATGGACGACCTCAAAGCTCTGCTACTGACAGCTCAAGTTTGAATGTTAAATTCAATTTTCCCTTTAAGTGGCATTCTCTGGCCTGAGGTCTGGGGCAGCTGAAAATGTCCGTAGTGACAAATTCTGACAGCTCTTTGCTAGTGTCTTCTGGACATGGGCTAAGAAATGAATATTAAAGCTCTAATAATTTGCTTAACTCAAACTCCCCTTAAATGCAAGCCAACAGTTAATGAAAGCTAGTTTCACATTGCTAATTAGGACCTGACCAATATATTGACTGGCAGCTAAAACCGGATGATAATAGCGTTCCATAGATTTATTGGACTTGCTGCAATTCCCACTAATGATGACTCTTTAAGTGTTAAATAAGAAATGTGATCATATTTTGAACAACAGCCAAACATACTGTTGGAAGCCAACACTCATTTTAGAGATTACCACTGACGTTATTTCCCTGCTGTAAGGTGTACAGTTATAAGATTATTAATTAGTGAGTTTTATGATGTTTATTAGGGATGCATTACACTCAGAGAAGATCTGTATCTTTACTTGATAAATGCTATTTAGATAAGCAAGTAAATAAGCCAATAAACAGCAAATAATAGCTAATAAAAAGTCCTGTAAATGCGCTAGCATGTTTCATGTGTTAAAGTTTAACTCTTTATAAATTATAAATGTCAGCTACAATTTTTTTTTTAATTCTGTAAAAAATAAAAGCTGAAAAAAATGGATACTAGTTTTGTTCCAACAGCAGCAATATACTAAGTACAATATACTAAGACTTATTAATTAGTATAGCAAAGCACTCTTGAACTATATATGTTAAAATTATATTTCTTAACATTATTTTTAGAATTTTTAGCTCAGTTTCGATTTTTGACATTTGATTTTAATATCGGTCAGGCCCTAATGCTAATGCTGTGTTCCACACAAAGTTGGAAGAGTCCTAAGTACTTTCAACTTCTAAACGCACAGAGTTCAATCTACTCTGCCAGCATTACAGGTTACTTTCATAACCTGTCAAAGAGGAAATCTGACTCAACGATGCATTTTAGCAGCTTAAAGTCCTAAAAAGAGTGTTTACAGTAACGATGTGCTTCTCTCTGGAGGCCACAGTGTTGTATTTCGCCTGAGTTTACTAGCACTTTTACCCGGAGGTTGGAAAAATTCTGTTTTTCCACGGGGTTTGGAACGCAGCATGACCTCTCGCAGCTAGCATTCATTAACCGCAGCATTGTTAGCATTAGCATATCTGTCCGAAATATCCCTTTAAGAGACTGTCAAGATTGAGATGGTAACCTGGCAGATTTATCTGATGTGGTTTTGAAGTAATGCCCCGCCCTCTCAGACAGGCCACGCCCACCCATCCCCATTAGCTGTCAACCTAAAATGAGTAAATGGGACAGGGGCTCGTTCTGGACTGGACCACAGGGGGTTAGTAACTAAGGCTCTGATCAGCAGTTGACGGTCAGATCACTCTTGTTCCATCTTCTTTACCTGACCATGTTCATGTGCTGCTCTGTGAGTCACCTGAGCTCATTCAACAGGTTCTGATAACGAATAACAACATATATCCTAGCACTCAGCTTAGATCTGGTCAAAATATATACTGTTTCTCATTTTGAGATCAGTGTTTTTATATTATATGATCATTTAACATATTTCTAGACATTTGTTTCACATATAATAAGTCACTTTATCTATATAAAGTATTTTGTTGGCAAATAATAAAGAATATTTCAAGCATCATTACATAAACAAGCTAAATTATCTGCCAACAAAGATACACTTTCCATAGATACACACTTAAAAAACGGTTCTTCAAGGGTTCTTTAGTAAAAGCAATGGTTCTATTTACTTCTATACGCTTAACTCGTTCTCTGCATGTAAAACAGTTCTTCAGACCGATGGAGAATGTGTTGTAGATGGTTCTATAGAGAACCTTTTCGAAAATAATTCTATATAGCACCAAAAAGGGTTCTTCTGTTGTTACAGGCTTGACATCGTAGCAATAGCAGAACCGTTTTGGTGATATATAGAACCCTTTTCAAAAAGGTTCTATATAGAATTATCATATTTCATGATGCAAAGAATGGTTCTTTGAGTGTTCATGGTTCTCTTGGAACCCCTCAGTGTACTAAGAGTATAATTTTCTTAAATAATAATAATATTCTTATATCAATCTCAAAATGAGGACTAACAGATACACTGACTAGATTTAAGATTGGTTTCACTTGTGAAGATGTAATTTTCTGCAGAGTGGAAGTCTGAACTCACAGGAGGAACAAAGATGACCTCAGTTCTGTTTTGAAGCGCACTCGCAAATCCTCGACTGCTTCAAAGAACCCAGATCTGAACAGGTGAACAAAGAAGCAAGAGTGATGTGAGCCGCCTACTACTGGACAGCATGTACATGACTACACAAGAGCCTAAAGCTAAACTAGACTGGTCTTGCAGGTCTAAGTAAGCTTGTAATTTTTATAGAAATTAACAAACGCACTGAATGGAAACTTAGACTGGTGTGATGTTGAAGGTGGGTGGGGTCACTGTGTGCTAAATCACAGCAAAATCGCCAGAATGAAAACTAACAGTGGACAGTTTCAGTAAAGCTACGCTTGTTTGAACGTTAGTTCAGTCCTGGGGAATTTACTGTGAACAATTCTACCCAATGGCAACCAGCCCTCGTCCTGGAGAACCACTTTCCTCGTCTTCAGTCCCAGTCCAAAGTTCCTCTTTACTTTTACAACTTTTAGATCAACCATAGAAACAGTCTGTCCGAACAACAGTGAGCTAGGCTAGCTCTAGCCTAGCATAAGCTTAACTAGCATTAATGATCCACCATACACTCTTAAAAAAGATGGTTCTTCAAGGGTTATTTAGTAAGGGGAATACTTCTATTTAGAACCATGCATTTGCATGTTTTAGTGGTTCTTTGCATGGGGAAATGTTTCTTCAGATAGATGCAGAATGTGTTGTATACGGTTCTATATAGAACCTTTCTAAAAATGGTTCTATATAGCACCAGAGAGGGTTGACATCATAACAAAGCATGAAATAGTTCTAAATAGAACTCATGGTTCTAAATGTAACCATTCCCTTTACTAAAAAACCCTTGAAGAAAGAGTTGGCCTGTACAACTGTAAGCTAGGCTTGCATAAGGTTAACCAATGATCAACCATGGAAAGATTCTGTTCAAATTACTTTAAGCTTAGCTAGCTAGCATAGCATTAGCTTAACTAGCACTAATGATCAACCACAGTGACAATAAGTCTGCCCAAACAACTAGAAGCTAGGCTAGTAGTAGCCTAAACTAAGTGTGATTAGCACTAATAATCAACCATTCATTTTGTTTCTGAACAGCCCTAAGCTAAGCTAGCACTAGCCTAGCCTAAGCTAGAGCAGCACGAATGTTAAGTTACCAAGAGCTTGCTAGCAAGCTGGGTAGGTAGCTATGCTAGCCATCTAGTGATTCTCTTTAACTAGATGAACAAAAGTTAAGTTAGCATTATTAGCAAGTTAGCTAACAAACATATGATATGATTTTTTTGTGTTTAACACAATCCGAATGCATTTTTCAGAGTTAAGCTGGTTAAATGGTTATGCTTATAAACTTTCAAGCGAAAACATGATAAAGCACCAGATTGTATTTTTGTTACATTTTCCTGCCATTTCGTTGGTGCTGCTCAACATTCAATCAAATGTGTCGAAACTCTAGACTGGTACTGTATGTTCCCACCCCAGCCTTACGCACCCGCAGCTTATCAGAGCTGCATCATTGGTGTTCCTACTAGGCTGGAACTGAACACTGATGAAATTAGATCTCCATTAGTAGGGCTGGTGACCACAGCAAAGCATTATCTACAGCCTTCCTCCTTCTCCCTTACTTCTTCCCTCTCCCTCTATCCTCACTGGCTGAGGAAGTCGATACTAGCTTTGACGCTACGCGAGGTTGCCACGTCGATGGCCATGGCGCGTATCTCGGTGTCTCCGAACTGCATGAGCGTCTGGATCTCCCTGCGCGCCGCCGGACTCTCCGTTCCGCTCACGTCCAGCCGCAGCGTCCCGCACTTCCGCACGCCGGGGTCCGAGATGAAGCCCACCGACTCCTTCTCCGAGCAGTAGACGTGAATGACGATGACCTGCTGGCTCGGCCTCGCCGGAGTGTAGCTGCGCTTCACCGTCTCACCCAGCGCCACCGACTGGTCAACTGCGATAAAAGTGTCGAAGACATCGGTGCACCAGCGCGTCCCATCCTTCACCAGCATCTTCTCGGGAGGGTGCTTTCCCTCCACAAAGCGGTTCAGGACGCCCACGCCATAGGTGAGCGGCGAGCGGCGTACCTTGATGACGCCAGGGTCGAGGCCAAACAGCACTGCCCCTTTGAGGATGGTCAGGCCCACGTCATGAGGGATGATGATGCGGCTCCGGCCCTGAAGCATCTCCTGTACCGCCTTCTGGAGCAGAGGGGACTCCGCAAAGCCGCCCACCAGGAACAGGAACTTAATGTCTGTCACCTCAGGCCTCTCAAACAGCTCCTCTGAGGGGGCGGAAAGAGGGAGAAAGAATGAGTGGTTGGCAAAAAGTAAATGAGTCCAGTAATGAACCTGGTTCTGACCAATCCAACACTTTGGAAAGAACACAGTGTTGGTAAAAATGAAGCCAGGACGCATTTGTGGTTTTCTGTGAATGTTTCAGAGGGATGAGCTCGACGGACACTTACTGAGGTGCTGAATAATGTGGTCGATGGTGGGCTTAAACAGGGCGTTCATCGCGTCTGGGTTCATTCTCAACATGCCCTGAGATGACCACTTTACAAAGTCCACACTAGAGAGAGAGAGAGAGAGAGAGAGAGAGAGAGAATCACTTACACATACTATCACACAAAAAGCAAACCTAAACAAAGTAAAAAAAGCGTAACACACACGAAGACCTCCATAATTCGATATTTCACACAGATTAGAAGTCCAAATTCTGCCAGAAAATAAAAGCTTAATAATAAAAGCTTCCTACTGCTGTCATCTCAAATTGTTTTACTTATCTTTTTAAATATACTGCGACATAGCCTGAAACCGAAATTTTAATTATACCAAGATACAAAGTTTTGGCCATATCACCCACAACTACCCACTGTACGGTGAAACAAAGGCAGTAATAGCTACAGTCACAACTAACCTACATCATCATAAGAAGCTTTTTTAAGGATTAAAGTTTATACATATACATATATATAGGTGTGTTTTGGCCTATATTGAAAATAAAAATATACATATGTATTTGTGTTTGTAGCCTGACTGTTTTTAGACTGAATCACCTCATGCAACTCACATTCCGCAGGCTACAAATTCTCCACAAGAGGGCGCCTTTGGCAGCTTATGGTGCCTCATAAGAGCAGCGCTTCACACCAATGACACTGTTCACTGCACAAAAATGTGCTTGCAGTTATGATGTAAGAAGCTATTAGTATTTCATTTTTTTTATTTTGGACAATAGTGAATGGAAAAGCCTGCATCTGTCCTGCGAAAGCTCCTACACAGCTGGTGGCACCGCACAACAGTTTCCACAATAAATATTCCATAAAAATTAAAAAAAAGGAATCATTTGCTGCTCTTTCAAGGCAAATACTGTACACAGTACACACAGCAGTCAACACATGTCAGCCTGTCAGTCTTCTGTACAAAGATGTTAGCCCAACATCAACTGCACTAAACAAACTGTTTCGGCTTGATTAGACGCAGTACAAAACTAGACAATACAGCAGCTCTACAGGACAATACAGGACACAGCTGACCAACGCAGCTTCAGACACATCAGGCAATGACACAGCTGACTGTTTTAATGCTGTGGCACTCAGGAAACCGACGGCAGCTGTCAATGTAGAGGTTAACAGGATCAGAGGCATTTAAACCCGCAGATTCGATTACCTCAGAGACGACGAGTCAGCAAGAGACGCCACATTTAACATTCACATACTCAACGTTTAACGCCCGTAATGGACGAATGCCATTAAAGTGGACAGTCTGACTGAGCAGCTGAGGGTCAGTGATCAGGAAACACGCCTTCTCTCGAAGTGTAACGCAAAACTATATATTAGGACCAAGTCACTGTTTTCCTTCTGGAGTACTGATGACTGATGTGGATGACTGTCACTGAGGAAGATGTGATCTCTCTAAACCAAACCACACATTTCTCAATCTGTTCCTTTAAATGCCTCCATTCATTCATCACCAATCACACTAAAAACCGACCCCTCTATACATCCACGTATCTCTCCTTCCATCCCTCCACCTATTCCTCAATCCATCCATCCACCTTCCCCATCCATCCATCACATCCACCTACCTGCTGTGGGTCCATTCATCATTCCCTCCATCCTTCTGTCCGTCCATCCCTCCAGCTATTCCTTCATCTTTCCATGCATTCATCTATCTAACCATCATCCCCATCTATCCCTCCAATTCATCTTCTCTATCCATCCATCACATCGACCTAATCATCATCCTCCCACCCCTCTCTCCATCCACCTATTCCTCCATCCCTGCACATATTCCTTCAGCCATCCATCAGTCAATCCATGTGTCCATCCATCCATCTATCGTTTCCTCCATCCATCTCTGTCCATCCCTCCACCTATTCCTCCATCTTTCCATGCATTCATCCATCTGACCATCTTCCCCATCCATCTTCTCTATCCATTCATCACATCCCCCTTCCCACCATCCACCCACCCCTCACTCCAACCACCTATTCCTTCATCCATCAACCTCTCCGTCCATCCCTCCGCATATTCTTCCACCCATCCATCAGTCCATCTATGCACCCATCCCTCCATCCTTCCATGTATTCATCCCTTCCATCTAACCATCTTCCCCATCCATCCATCTCTCCCATCCATCTTCTCTATCCATCAATCACACCAACCTACCCACCATCCACCCATTCCTCCATCCATCTCTCCTATCCATCCCTCCACAAATTCCTCCACCCATTCATCAGTCCATCCATGCTTCCATCCATCTCTCCCATCTACACACCCATCCACCCTCCCCATCAAGCCATCCTTCCATCCCACCCACCTGCCCACCCATCCATCCTCCTATCCATCTTTTCCTCCATTCACTCATTCATCCATACATCCATCCCTCGATCAATCCAGCCATTGACCTATCCATCCCGTTCATCTTTCCCTCCCTCCCATTCACCCATCCTTCCATCCCTCCTTTCATTCAAAAAACAATCATACACAAACACCATCTAAGGCTGGGTGATATGGTCAAAAATCTCTATACGTTTCTTTGCAATTTGGTATTGATAATTATGAATAACTATTATTTAATCTTGTTAATTATACATCAGAATTATATATCAGAAGGGCTTTCCTACGGATGCATTTTAAGTCTGAATAGTATTTTGCTAATACTGGATTGCAGAACAGAATTTTTTTGTTTTACTTTTAGCCTCCAGGCCTACCACCTCCTCTCCTTCTTAACCATTATGGATGGTGTTCCTGGACTCACCCACCCCCCGCCCCACTCACTTGCTCTTGCGCAGCGCGTGCTCCACGCTGTGGCCGCGGAACTTCTTGTAGTAGTCGATGAAGGAGAAGGGCAGGTTGATGTTGAGGGGGTTCGTCCTGTCCGGAGCCGCCGCCCTCTTACGGGACTCAAATGCGATCATCAGGTCCACCCACGCCGCTGGACGCTTGACTTTAAACTGGTCAATGAAATCCTGACCAAAGATCTTACAGAGCAACTTCTCAAACTCATAATCGACGCCAATAGAACCATACGGACCTCCTGCAGGCAGAGAGAGACGGAGAGAGGAATCGATGCTGGTCAGCTTACACATACAGGTCATAGAGGTCAACGTGTCTTCTACAGCAGTGACTGAGGAAAGACAGTCGTATCGGATAACATCCACAAAAACATGCTAATGTTAGGGTCTCACAATGAATAGATTTAATTCTGTTTCTTTATGGATAAAATAAACACATCATTAAATCTCAAATTTACCAAAAATCGATGTGATTATTTTGGCACAAAATAATTTGGTTTTCAAAATCTCATTGAATACAGAAATAAGTGGAGAATCTATTTAAACAGTAGTTGAATACAAGCACTAAAAACAATATTTTACATTCAAAACTAGCCATAAGAGTTTATTTTGACCAAAAAATGAGTGTACAATTTTTTAAATATTATGTATATACATATATACATACACCAATCAGGCATAACATTATGACCACCTCCTTGTTTTTACGCTCTTTGTCCATTTTATCAGCTCCACTTACTATATAGGTGCACTTTGTAGTTCTACAGTTACAGACTGTAGTCCATCTGTTTCTCTGCATACTTTGTTAGCCCCCTTTTACCCTGTTCTTTAGTGGTCAGGACCCCCATGGACCCTCACAGAGCAGGTACTATTTGGGTGGTAGATCATTCCCAGTACTCCAGTAACACTGCTGTGGTGGTGGTGTGTTAGTGTGTGTTGTACTGGTCTGAGTAGATCAGACACACCTCAGTGTCACTGCTGGACTGAGAATAGTCCACCAACCAAAAATATCCAGCCAACAGCGTCCTGTGGGCAGCGTCCTGTGACCACTGATGAAGGACTAGACGATGACCAACACAAACTGTGCAGCAGCAGATGAGTCATTCTTGTAATTTTGAAGCATTTCTATTGGTCTAATTATCGTCAAATTTTCACACAACGTAAAGAAAAGCTGCTGATATAGAATAGATATAGATGATATAGATGTGGCACTGTTTCGCAGTTCTTCACTGGCTCCCGGGGTTAGATAAGGTCACCTGGTCTCACCTGAAGCCTTGTAGAGCTCCTTCAGATGACCTTCGGGCATCCGGATCTGATGCACCGTCAGATCCACCGTCCCTCCGCCACAATCCATCACCACGTAACGGTCACCTGCAGACCAGCAGCAAACAGTAAGCAATAGCTAAGGCTGGGCTGCACGATATGGTTAAAAAATCTTTTCTGGATATATTTTCTCATATCATTCAACATTGATAATTATTGGTCATTTAAATGCGCATTTTATAGTGTTCAATTTTAAATCAGAATAGACCTTTAAACTGAAACAAAATGTGGATTCAGAGCTATTTATTACATAAGTGAACATAGAATAAGTAAGAAAACAGAATTTTGCACTTTTACTAGATCTTTACATTCAACAGCAACACTTAAAACTCTCCTAGTGGTCAGAAAAATAGAAAAAAATGACAAAAAGAGAATCACAGAGAATGTGAGGCCTTTATTCCGCCGGTCTCTTCTTGCTGGGAGGCATGTTTCTTAAAACTCACAGGTTTTTTTACCATCCAGTTTTAGCTAAATATATTGCTGGTTTGTGCTGTTGTGAGTGAAGGGCTAGACTTCTTCCTCCCCGTCTAGAGAGTAAAAGACACACATCGCCACCTAGTGTACCAAAGTAGCAACTATTCAAAGGTCAAGACTTTGCTGCTAATGCCAGAATGAGAAACAGAACAGCATAATCATTTTATCAAAAATATCTCAAACGTGCATTATTGATGTGAAAAACCATCGGAGTTTGACAATCACTGCTATCATGCAGTATCATGCAGGCCTAATCAGAGGTCAACAAAGGTCACTTAGAACAGAACACCTACTTCTGGTAACTTCCTATGTCCTCCATACTGTGGAAAGTAGTGCTCTGATGATGTTGAAAGAGAATGAATCTGACAGGGTGGCCTCAATAGAGTGTTTTTGGGGCGTCGGGCGGGCTGGTGACCCAGTTTTAGGGTTCATTGGAGGTGCCATGGTTTCCAGGAGCACAATCCTGTGGCAGCTAGAGTGCTAACGTAGTGGTACGTGTCATTTGAGCTTGGCTCTATCTAGCTGGAGTTAAACGTGACGATGCTACAAGGACAGACGTCTGGTGTGAAATCATCAGCACTTAAAAACAAGGCCAAGCAGCAATTAGCAAGGTATTAGCAGCAACGATGACAGGCCTAAGAGTGCTCTAAAATAACTCTAAAACACTTTAAGACCTGTCCAAATCACTCTTAAATCACAACCCATGTAAATATAGTAGATTATATGTAACATAGAGGAATAAGATGATGTTTAAGTTAGCAAAGTTAATGCACCCATGCTTCTTCAATGCTGGTACTCTATGCTAGAGTAGAGGCCAGCTCTGATTGGACGGTTCCAATCTTTTTTCTACTGTTAAAATGACACCAAAGGGAACCGTACACAGTAAATGTAAATGTTAACCGAGCAGAAAGTAGAAACTTTGACCTGTTCTTTTAAAACAATCTGAAGCATTTGGGCAAATGACGTACACTGCAGTCTAGGGCCATATCTAAAAATAATTAGCATGATATTTTCTTCAGCTTACGATCTACGTTACGATCTTTAGCTGCCTTTTAACATTAACTGATTAGTATATATTTACAAATATATACTAATCTCTTGCCACAAGCTCCTGCTGGTGTGGGTTCATTCTTCTCTTTAAACGATGCAGACAAAAACTACTTGTGTGCTAATAGCTCCCCCTTCTGGAGAAACATCAAACTTCAAACTGCTACATATGCTCGAGTAAATTAATACGTTTTAAATATCATCAAAGAACAAGGTTTTGTTCTGCTGTTATAACAGAGGTACTCAGGATATTAGCTGAAGATTCCTGAATCAAACATTCAAACCGCTGGGACATTTAAGCTGTACAGAAAGTGCTTTGCGCACGTTGTGTTGCACTTTTGGAAACGCACAGCAGAGCTAGTGAGAAATTAACTCTATTGTAATGGCTTCTTAATCCACTGTTTTGACAGTAAGAGGAAATAAAACTTATGTACATGTAATTTAACATTTATTTATTTATCTGTCAATCATTCTTTTCCAAATTAAATTAGTCTGCTTTAGTTCGCTGTAAGTTACATTTGAAGCATCATCATCAGGTTACTTGATAGTCACTGCCAATAACATCGCCTTATCACCCAGGCCTGTTACAGTTACTTAAGTAATAAGGGTACACTGGCACAGATGATACATCACCCAGCATGAGGATACAGCTAGCATCTATTCACCATTTCATGGCTTATCTTTTTCAGGTATTCAGGCTACTGGAGTTGAAGAGCAGTGAGGGATGCAGGAGTCTCTGCTCTGTACTCTACTGTAGGAGCATGAATTAATCATTCATCGTGGCTGAGAGGGTTTGTGTTTTATTTTGTATGAGAGCAGCATTAGGCAGAGCACGAGCACAACAGTGACACAGCAAAAGAGCAAAAGAATTCAAGACAAAGAAGGAGAGAAAGAGAGAAAGAGAGAGGGATGCGGACTCTACCTTCGTTGAGTTCGGACCATAGCTCTCCTATGACATTTTCCACCAGAAAGGTGCGGCTCTGCCGGTTGCGGCGCACATGATCCTTGGCTGGTTATCGACAGAGAGAGAGGGGAGTGTGTATGAGAAGCTGGAAAAGAGCTGGTGAAGCCATTTGTGTGTGTGTGTGTGTGTGCGTGTGTGACATTAGCACAGGCAAGGCAACAGCATGGCAGAGAAATGAGGGGCAGGAAACACTACTGGACGTTAAAGCCTGGAAATGTGAATCAGATGAATTTGTTTCTCTTTTTTTTATGAGGTAAAATTTTATGAGGTAAAAATAAGGTATACAATTTTACATTTATGCTCAATAAAATTAATACTAATATTATAATAATTTAAAAGATTTACTAAAATAATTTAAAAATGCCTTATTATTATTTATAATAACAATAATAATAATAATAATAATAACCAGATATGTACATTTTCTGAAGGAAACGCACAATGGTTGGGCAGCTTACAAGGTTCCCACTTCCTGCTAGGTTGTTGCTAAGTTGGTGGTTGCTATGGTTGCCAAGTCCACTGCCACCCTAAATGTCCTGCTCCCTTAAATCTTTGCTACCTTAAATCCACTTCCACCTTAAATTCACTACCACCTTAAATCTCCTGCTACCTTAAATCTGCAACCTTAAATCCAGTGCCACCTTAAATACACTGGTACCTAAAATCTCCTGCTACCTTAGAAGTGTATGTGTGTGTTTGGTGTGTTATATGTGGTGTGTGTGTGGAGTGTGTGGTGTGTGTGTGTTTTTCTATGGGAAAAAATTCAGCAAAATTCCATTGCTACACGGAAACCGTGCATCTGATCAAAAAGCTGTATGCAAGAATCACACAGTCAGACCGTACAATCTGGAGTTGGAACAGTGTTGATATCTCAAAAACCGCGGAACGAGTTACCAGCAAAAATCTGGCGGAAATAATAATAATAATAATAGAGAAGAAGAAGAATATAAAACAAAGAAAAATATAGTTTTGCTTTGCAATGCACAATCATAATAATAATAATAAAAACAAACATTTATTTAGATGGACATGTAACAATCGCTAATCTGTTGTAAACTTACTCATCTTCTGGATCAGTGCCGCTCTAGAGTGAGATTTTCTGGTTTAAAGACTTGTATAAACCCCCTTCTGATGATGTATCTTGAAGGTGGGAGGTGCTTTCGAAACAACACAAATACTTTGGGGCAGATTTTTGAGGTGGGCTGGTTTAAGGTGTTATTTTTTCATTAGCTGTTGAATGCATAAGGAGATCTAGCTAACGTTACTGCTAGAAAGCCGAATATCTTACAACAGCTGTGTGACTGTAATCACTGTTTTCAAATAAACATTCACATTATGCATCACAATGCAATATCACTAATAGAAAGAACATGCGGTCTTTGGCTTCTGAGGTCCAAACATAATCAACAGTTTATCAGTATGAATGGATGTTTCTCATTCACCACTGTTTGTCCACATTTTTCACTTTCTCCACAACTTGTTGCATGGTTGGAATTGCAAGTCTCACGTTCCCCTATTCACTCAGTGAGGAAGCAGAAAGCCCACCTGTCAAATCCAGGATGCTGCCTTTCCGTAGTTACACACATAATACAAAACACCATGCTATTTTTAACCCTTAAACTTCACAGATGTCCACATTCTAAGGGTTATTATTCCATAAATGGTCTGAAAACACAGGAAAATGACACAATAAATCTGGAACTGGCAACATGGAAACGTAAAGGAGAACTCTGGTTGAACTCTGACCGCCACATGATGACGACATCACCTAAAATCAGTGGCGAACTGTGACTATTAGAGCTAGGCCTTCAGTTTGCATCATAAGTATCAAAACTCGATCATAAACAAGGGAAGAAAACACCTACACCTGTATATAATGCTAGTTTCAGTTAGCACCCCTATGGGATTTCTAATAGTACGTTAGCACTAAGCTAATGCTGGTACACAAACATTTTTGGCTGTTCTAGATTAAACACAGACATTTGAAACTTGTAAAAGTCATTCCATGTGTTTTGTTAAAAGCTTTTTACAGACATTAATATATATCTGAGCTTGCATGCATCCGTTTTATTGTGAGTGTGTTTACATGCACTCAATAATCCAATCATAATCAGATTTCTGCAGTTATCTGATTATTCAAATGGTTATGTAAACAGCACACTCGATTTCTTAGATTGGGGCAAGATCTAGAAATCTGATTAAGAAATCCAATAAAGAGAGCTGGATTTTAGCCCAGTAATCAGATTTCTCAGTGCATGTAAACTCTTACTCTGATTTCTTTCAGATTTCTCAGTCTGCATGTGCGAAAACAGACCGCGGTACCGGAAATAAGCAGAGATGGCAGCAAACCACGTTTGAAGCGACATTTTCTTTGTTTACGTCATGTCTTCTTCTCTGAGCTTATTGGCTGGTTGTAAAGCAGAAATCCGATTACTGTCTGACTCATGTAGACCCGGAGTTTCCCCATTATCTGATTACCCAAGTGCATGTAAATGCATTGATCAGATTACTGACAAAATCTGATTTTCTGCAGTTATCAGATCATGAAGTGCACGTAAACACTCAGTAACTCTTTCAGTAAAGAGTCCTGGCACAGAGCTGCTGCCGCTGTTTTCCATTCCCCTACGGTTCAAATTCACGGTCAGTGACATATCTAGAACTTTAGAACGTGATTGGGTGATTTCTATGTTGGTTCCTAATTATGTTGGTAGTTAATCTAACATGTAAGGCTTTCAGTTCAGCTGCTGAACTCCTAACCAATGGGAGAGCCCGCTTGCTTCTACCTAGATACCACAGAGAAAACAATCCTGATTGGAAATGTTTCCATTAGATTTTAACCCTTTTGTTTCCAATCAAAACTTAACCATGAAATGACAGTATTACTACAATACTTGCAGAGTTTAAATACAACATTATTGTACAAAATAAAAATGTATTTTATTTGACAGAAATTCTTAGATGTCTCTCTCTGAAGGCCTTGAAGGCTCCCCACTGCTTAAAAATGCAACCCTTGGTCATTTGTAACCATTTCCGAGCGTGTACGGGCACACACAGGCCGGGGTCAGCACTTCTTCTGACACAGAAAGTGCAGAGCAGGACATCAAGGCGCCAGTAACAACATGACCGGCCTCACTGAGGCACAGTGAACTAAACTAGCCTATGAGGACTCTGCCTAAATGTATGTTTATATACACACTGACCATCCACTTTATTAGAGACACCTACCTTGAACTTCTGCTCACTGGCCACTTTATTAGAAACACCTGCCTGATCCTGTAGATCAGTGTACATTTACAGGCTATAGTCCATCTGATGCTGCACAGTTTATCAGCCCACAGAAAATGACCACCGATGAAGGTCTAGCGGGTGACTTGCACTGTGCATCAACAGTTGAGCTACAGTCTCTAACTGTGCACCCTGAGAGGGGTTTCTGATAAAGTGGCCAGGGAGATGTAAGAGCATTACAGAGACAGAGAGAAAGAGGAAAAGAAACAAAAGGAACAAAGACAGGACTGAAAGAAAAAGAGAAATAAAAGAGAAAGAGAAATAGCCACAAACACAGACAATGCGAAAGCAGGGGCCCATTTATTACGTTATGATCGGGGGGCGGGGGGTGGTGGGTGGAGGTGGGGGGTATTATTGCCACACATCCTCTATCATCTCAATCACATCCTCAAAATGCGTCCTGGACAACGTTAAAGTTCTCATGTTTCAGAGTCAGTCACGTTATAATACACTCACTTAACCATCCCTGTATCCATCTATTCATCCATCCATCCGTGCACCTATCCATCCCCTCTCTATTCATCTATCCCTCCATCCATCTATCCCTGCCAGCCAATCTTTTCTGCATCCATCCATCCATCCATCCCTCAATCCATCAATGCATCCATCCATCCATCACTGTCATCCATCCATCCATCCATCCTTCCAACTTTTCCTGCTATCCATCCATCCATCAATCCATTCATCCATCCATTTATCCATCCATCCCTCCATCCATCTATCCATCCATCCATCACTGTCATCAATCATCTATCTTTCCCATCCATCCTTACCATCCAATGTTCCCTGACATCCATCTATCCCTCCCTCCATCCATCCCTCCCTCCCTCTATCCATTCATCCCTCCATCAGTCATCCATCCATCCATCTATAATTCCTCTATCCATCCATCCATCCATCCATCCATCATCCCTCTATCCATCCATCCATGCTTCCATCCAACCTTCCCTGTCATCCATATATCCATCCGTCCATCCTTCCCTTCCAACCTTTCCTGCTATCCATCCATTCATCCCTCTATCCATCCATCCAACCTTCCCTGCCATCCATTCATCCATCCATCCATCCATCCATCCACCCGTCTAGCAGAGCGCTCCAGCGACTGTACACATCTGTACCTATGAGCATATATGAAAGTGCTTCCCATCTGTATCACATTCAGACAAAAAAGGATCTGTGCTTCCTTAACTAGTAATGTGAACACAGCTTTAATTACACCCCTGTGTGAAGGAAAGAAAGAGAAGGAAAGAGAGAGTGAGAAAGAGGCGGAAAGAGTGTTTCCTCTCCACTGCCCTCCCCAACTGACCCAAGCCGGAGAGGTCCTCTCACATCCTGAGTCAGACTGTAGACTTTATTTACAGAGCAGGTCACATGACCCCTCCTTCTTCAGGACAGAATCACAATCACTCTCGTTGTTTAACGGCTTTCCTCATGGCTAAATTAATCCAGCGCGGCTCTCATGCCCTGCACCTCAGAAATATTCATATATATAAATAGAATTGTTCAGTGAAGCAGAACTGTGTGACTGCAGTTCAGATGGTTTTCATCCCAGCATTTGCAGATAATTTAGAGAATACACGTTTTCACAGAACAGCAGAATCACCATCTACAAGTACTCCAAATTACTGCGTACCTAAATCATCACATACTTGCCTCAATTTATTCCATCTGTCCATTCCTCCATCCTTCCATCCTTCCATCCATCCATCAATCCATCCATCCTTCCCATCCAACCTTCCCTGTCACCGTCCCTCTATCCCTCTATCCATCTGTCCATCATCCATACATCCATTTATCAATGCATCCCTCCATCCACCACTATCATCCATCCATCCTTCCCATCCATCCACCCTTCCATCCATCAATCCATCCATCCCTCTATCCATACTTCCATCCACCCCTCCATCCATCACTGTCATCCATCCATCCTTCCCAGCCATCCATCCATCCCTCCATCCTTCCATCCATCCATCCATCCTTCCCATCCAAACTTCCCGGCCATCCATCCACCCTTCCATCCATCTATCCATTCTTTCATCTATTCAACCTTCTCTGCATCCATCCATCTATCCATGTAATTTAAGTAATGAAAATTTATGGGCAACAATTACTGCGTACCTAAATCATCACACACTCAAGTTATTAGAGGGGAATTCCACCAAATTTTGTAGAGACTCAGATTTCTTTATAGTAGGAACCAGGGGTCACCATGACTACAACACAAATACAGCCAGTTTATTTACCATCCAAAACCACCAGTGAACCTACACATATCTTCTGAGTTTTATATGGAATGTTGATGAATGTTGAAAAGAATTAGTTTTTTGGGGACTATTTTGGCTCCTGCATGTGTCTCAAAATGATTGTAAACAGTGTCTCAGACATCAGGAATTTTCTGTGAGGGAGGTTTTAGAGGTGGACAGCTGGTTCTTATCACCACCACTTGAACGATTCTGACTCAGTAAGTTTCTCTTTTCCCCTTTAAATAAGCTCAAACTGACTTGCTTATGTGGTTTTTGACACTGTATGATATTTAATTTTATAGATGACAGGGTCAAAAACTAATGGAGTAACTGAGTGTAGCTCTCACTTTCTCTCTCTGATCAATGAGCTCATCTCTCTCTCAGGTGATGCAGCGTTTCTGCATCTCTATAATAGCCATAAAGCTGCTGATGTCATCAGAGCACTGAGGTCAAACACCTCAGCAGCAGCTAATCTGACCCTAAGTACGGCAAAGTAGTGGATTTATTGCTTACTGAGATCCAAAGCCTTCTAGTACGTGCAGTTCTTACAGATTCATTTAAACCGAAACCAGAGGCTTGAACCCAAATACAGCCTGAAAACTTTTGGTTCTTCCCCGATCCAAGCCGCAGCACCAAATAAACAAACGTTACTCCCTGCTGCCCTTTAAAGGTGTTACAAACATCAAATAAACAAACGTTACTCACTACTGCCCTTTAAAGGTGTTACAAACATCAAATAAACAAACGTTACTCACTGCTGCCCTTTAAAGGTGTTACAAACATCAAATAAACAAACGTTACTCCCTGCTGCCCTCTAAAGGTGTTAATAAACATAAATAAACAAACGTGACCCCCTGCTGCCCACTAATGGTGTTAATAAATAACATATAAACAAACGTGACTCCCTGCCGCCCTCTAAAGGTGTTAATAAACATCAAATAAACAAACCTTACTCACTGCTGCCCTCTAAAGGCGTTAACAAACATCCAATAAACAAAACTTACTCACTGCTGCCCTCTAAAGGCATTAACAAACATCAAATAAACAAACGTTAGTCCCTGCCACCCTCTAAAGGAGTTAACAAACATCAAATAAACAAACGTTAGTCCCTGCCGCCCTCTAAAGGAGTTAACAAACATCAAATAAACAACCGTGACTCCCTGCCGGCCTCTAAATGTTTTATTTACAAACATCAAATGAATAAACATAACTCAATTCTGTAAGGTGTTACTGTTTGCTTGAAAATGCACTTACATTCTAGTTGTTACAGTGTAAACAAATGACTGTGAAAGCCAAATACTGTGGAAAATTATTGCGGTCAGTTCAAAAAGTTACGATCGGGTGATTATGTAATAACTAACGAGCCAATCCAAACCCAACAATATTTGAGAAATGATGATTGAATAGTCGGGTCAGGTTCAGAAAAACGTTTTTAGCTATAAGGAACTCCAACAAAATCGTCATACAAAGTCTTGTGAGATGAGACTGGTGGTTTGTTTTATCCTCAAGCCCAAACATGCGTGAGTGTTTGTGACAGCGAATGGTGCCTACCCTGGGCCATGCCCGCCCCCACGTTCTCTGGTGGACCGTAGCCGTTTATGGACGTCTTGGCTCCCAGGTCAATCATCTGGTGGAGGCGGAGCTTGCGGCAGTAGATGGAGGCAGCCTCGGGCTCCAGAGCGATGATCAGCTGATCAGGGGTATCCCGGGTTGCTAACCCAGCCTGAGAACAGGAAACACGCAGGAAAACAGTTGAAGGAAAGTAATCTGCCCCCCTGTTTACCCCAAATGCAGTTGATCAGCGAAGACATGCTCAGTGTCTGAAGTTTGCTTATTTAGTTTTACCCTAATTTCTACATTTTCTACATGTTTATGTATCGGTATTGGCAGACATTTACACAAAAAACATCAGTGCAGCCCTGCTGAGAACAGCAGCAGCCAGAAAAACATCTTCACTGGAATGATTCAGCATCCAGAGCGCTGAGTCACTGCAGATGTGCACACACACACACACACACACACACACACACACACACAAACACACACACACATACACATATTCACGCCTCAGCTCCGTCTTTACTACAGTAATCTGTGGAGGAATCCTCTGTTCCTCTCTCACCACCTCCTATACACGCACTCCTCCCTCCTCTCACGCTCTCTCTTTCTTTCTTTCTCTCTCTCCCGACTCTCTTTCCCTTCCTTTCTCTCGACATCTCTCATTCTCTCTATCCTTTTCTCTCTCTCCCTGCTCTATCTTTCTCCTTTCCTCTTTTCTCTCTCCTGCTCTATCTCTCCCCCTTTCTTTTTCTCTCCTCGCTCTCTCTCCATTTCTTTCTCTCTTTCCCCACTATCTCTTCCTCTCTCTTTCCCTGCTCTCCCCCCCTTTGTTTTTCTCTCAATCTCTCTCTCTCTCCTGCTCTCTCTCCCTTTCTCTTTTTTATTGATCTTTGTCTCTCTCTAACTCCCCTCTCTCTCTCTCCGTTTACCTCTTTTTATCTTGATCTCTCTCTCTCTACTCCCATCTCTCTCTCTCACCCCATCTCTTTCCCTCCGTCCCCACCTTCTCTTTCCCTTTCTCTTTTTCCATTGATCTCTCTCTCTCAAACTCCCCTTTCTACCTCTCTTTCCCTCTTTTTATCTCGATCTCTCTCTCTCAAACTCCCACCCCCCCCGCTTTCTCTCTCTCTCTCTCTTTCTCCCTCCCCCTCTCAATTTCTCCCTCTCTCTCTTTTCCCGTCTGTTTCCCTCTCTCTCTCTTCCTCCTATGCCTTCCTTCCTTCCTTGTCTCAGTGTCAGGGGCAGTGCACTCCATCCATCCACGCAAACACACACAAATAATAAAGCAGAATAAAGTGGTGTTTGGTGGAGGATTTCGGTGGTGGGTTGAGGTCACTCTCACTTTCTCTCCTTGACCTTTTAAGACAGGCAGTGAGAACATGTTCCTCTCTCTCTCTCTCTCTCTCTCTCTCTCTTTTACTGTGTCATTAACACATTCAGCCTGCTCTTATGCTTGATTTGGTTGTAGCCGACTTCATGATTGGGCTGAATTTCAGCATCATCGGTTGTGTGGTGTGAGGGGCAAGAGATGCCCGATTGAGCAGCCGGACGATCCAATTGATTGCCTGACATGTCAGAAATTCTGGACACCTGTCTTGCAGTTTCAGCAGATCTCACCGTGTGTGTGTGTGTGTATGTGTGTGTGTGTGTGTGTGTGTGTGTGTGTGTGTGTGTGTGTGTATGTGTGCGTGTGTGTGTAGTGTGTACCTTATACGCTGCCTCCCTCATAAACTGCTTAGCTGGCATCTTCCATATAGCAGGAACAGTGATGACCCATCTGACATCAGCATTATCAAACTCCGCCCCTGCCTGGTCACTCAGCTCCTACAGCCAATCACAGCACAGAGTCAGAGGGAGGACAACAACATAATAATAACTGAACATAATTTTACTCATTCCTATATTCCAAAAGAGTCACAATGATTCACTATTGATTCATCTACTATGACCTATTCAGTAACTACTATAAATTATTCAAGATCTTTTATGAATTATTCATTACCTACTTTGACCTATTCAGTACCCACTATGAATTATTCAGTATCTAATATAAATTATTCTGTATTTACTACAGATTATTCAGTATTTTCTATGAATTATTCAGTATCTACTATGAATTATCCATTAACTGTAATGAGTTGCTAAGCATGTGCTAGAATTATTCAGTATGTACTATGAATTATTCAGTAACCATTACGAATTGTTCAGTATCTACCATGAATTATTTAGTATCTACTATGAATTATTCAATAACTACTATGAAGTATTTAGTATCTACTATGAATTATTCAGTAATTACTATGAATTATTTTGTATCTACTATGAATTATTCCGTATTTGTTATGAATTATTCAGTATCTACTACTTATTATCCATTAACTATTATGAATTATTCAGTAATTACTATGAATTATTTAGTATTTGCTATTAATTATTCAGTAACTACTATGAATTATTCAGTATCTACTATGAATTATTTAGTAATTGTTATGAATTATTCAGTAACTACTAGGGTTTGCATGCAATAATGCAACCCAGCAGCTCAACAGTGCAGCAGCTGCAGCAGCTCAGCATCTCAATACTGTTTGTCCAGAAGGTGGCGATCTAAACATTCTGGCAGCATATGAGTAGCTACAGCATTAGCCTTTACTAGACCAGACAGGTCAAGGACGAAGGATGAACAAACTTCAAACCGACTGAGCGGTAAAGAAACACTGCGATTAAAGACTGAAATGTGCTTTGGTGTACTTTGAGAGCCTGTTCCTTGAAGAAGGCCAGAGCGTAGGCAAATATATCCAACGCCTTCACTCTCTTCCCATTGGCTGCATGAAGGTCTGTGTCGATGGACAGATTCTGGGGAGGAAGACACCAAAAAGTAAACAAATAAACAACATCAGGGTTAAAGGGCTTTAAAAGCAATGATGCACCTTCAGTCTGTATGTGATCAATTTTGGAATGTTACAATCTATTATGATCACAATAACTGTAATACATGTCAATAATGTCTGCGCTCAGTTTTTGGCCAGTTAAATGTGTGGGATATTTTCAATCAAGAAATCCTAAAAAAGATTTTTTTGTCTATTTTTCTTTTATAGTCTATATCAGTTCTGTCATCAGTTCTTGAGTTTTTTAATAATTCTGAATTACAAATAATCAAATTGAATTATAATCAGATTTGATATTGCATGATAAACTACATTGTTTTTCTAAAGAATCATAATTAGTTGTGAAATTAGAGATTTAAGCAGTTCTTACTGCAGTCGTGTGAAGCTTCATTTTAAACTTCTCCAGGTAGAGCCACTGTTTGGACTCAGTGGGGTCCAGGTCGTGGTAAAAGTCTCTTGCTGCGTAACCGAAACTGTGGAACTTCTTCTCCGGAGTCAACAGAATGGTGGTTGGCGTCTTCTGATTGGACACTCCTGGGTCTCCGCCCTCCCAGCGCCTAGCAACAAGAGTACATCAACCAATCACTGTGGTGCATGACTGAACACGACTCAGTTTATATCACAATACATACATTTAGAGTCAGTTATTCATTCAACCTAATGAGAAACTGTAGAACAGACTCAGTTTATATCACAATACATACATTTAGAGTCAGTTATTCATTTAAACTAATGAGAAACTGTAGAACAGACTCAGTTTATATCACAATACCTACATTTAGAGTCAGTTATTCATTCAGCCTAATAAGAAACTGTAGATCAGACTCAGTTTAAATCACAATACCTACATAGCATAATAGGTCCCCTTTAAGTACTATGATATGATATTTAAGCTACACCGCCCACCTCTATGAGGGGTATTAGGGGCTTGCTTTGAAGTGAACACTGTGCAAGTTTAGTTTAATAGTCAACATAGAATCTGGTGGCATTGAAACAGAACAGCTGTCCTGTTTTCCTAATTGCTGCTTGTTCACTCCATTCATTCTGCTCTTGTCCTGCCCTCAACTAGGACAAAAGCAGTAGGAAAGTTTCCAACCTTAGCCCTAGATTTCAATTACAGCCCTAGATTTCCTGCAATTTCCATCCTTAAAATGTCTGCATAACTCAGTGTTTGAGATGTAAACATAGTGTTTCAGAGTGGTTTGGTGTGAAATGGCTCAGATTTCTTTACAGTGGTGGTGAACCAGGGGTCGCCATGACTACAACACACATATATATATATATATATATATTTCATTTACTATCCAAAACCACCAGTGGTCACCTGCAAATGTCTTCTGAGCTTATATATGTAATGTTGATGATGGTAAAATAGTGAAAAATGTAAAAATGAAACGTTTTCTTCTGGGACTATTTTGCCTCACAGCACCCTGCATGTATCCCTCCACTATGAATGCATTTTAAACATGTGTTTAAGCCAAAATCTTCTGAAGCCTATCATAAAACAGTGTCTCAGACATCAGGCAGTGTATTCATAACCATTTAATGTAGTAACTTTCTGTGAGGGAGCTTTAAGAGGTGGAGGTCTGGTTCCTATCACCACCACTGTGAACAATTCTGACTTGGTAAGTTTCTCTAGAACAGAGCATTTCACACCAAACTACTCAGAAAGACTCTGGTAACATCTTATCCATTTAATTCTGCACAAATTCTGAAATATCAGTGGAATTCCCCTTCAAATAGCTGCACATTCAATCACGCTGCTGGGCTCATTAGTAATGCTGATGTGTACACTTCCCTAAGGAGACTCAACCTCTTATCATCATCAATATCCACATTTCCATCCAGTTTACAGCCTAAGAGCAAAAGCAACCCCACTGCCCTACTCAGACATTCGGGGAGAGAGAGAGAGAGAGAGAGAGAGAGAGAGAACTCTATTACCCTAGAGAGAGAGAGAGAGAGAGAGAGAGAGACAGAGAGAGAGAGAGAGAGAGAGAGAGAGAGTTCTATTCCCCTACTCAGACATTCAGAGTGAGAGAATAAACTTGGGTTATTAAATTATTCCGAGGTGAATCAGACAGAGGCAGGGCCACCATCACCAAGACCTCACACAGAAAGTTAACCCAGACATCAGCCTCCCTACATAACGGGTTAACCTGAACCTAAAAAATAATTTTAAACGAATTATTCCAAAATAAAATGTGTTTCTATGCTTTAGCTGGACCAGTTATGGCTTTATTTCAAACCACCACTGCGCTCTCAAGTGAATCTGAAGCTGCCTACCAAAATGGTGGCAGGTCGTTTGCGTAACGCCGAAACAACTGTAATAAACTTGTAAAGTCATAATTCTTTATGTTCAAGTGCTCTGCAGTCAGAAACAAGCAGGAAAGCCTTGCTAACGTTAGCTCAGTTTTGCAGTCACAAACAGACAAAATTTGCTAGCAAATCTTGGTAAATATACTGTTAACGTTAGCTCTGCTTTGCAGTCAGAAAAATGCAGGATTTGCCAGCTTATCTTGGTAAACGTACTGCTAACGTTAGCTCTTCTTTGTAGTCACAAACAGACAGGATTTGCTAGCTAATCTGGATAAATCTATTGCTAACGTTAGCTCTACTTTGGTATCTTCCTAATATAAAACTGTACTGCATCCAAGGTTTACAGGTGTAAACAAACGGCTTTAGCTTAATCAGTGCCTGCTAAAAACAAGCCGCAACTAGAAAAATGAAGAACTAATGTTACCTACCAACAACTGAAACCGCACTTTTCTCAGCCATGATTAAAGGTTTTTTTAACGAATTTCACAGATATTTGTAAATAAGACTTTAAGAGACGTTCATATGCAATCATCAAGCTGGAACTCCTGTTTACGATAATTTCAATAGCACATGTAAGCAACATCATTAACCCTCCTAAAAAAGGTTAACCAAGATCAGGATGTCTTCTCATTTTGTAGGCCAAAGGCTATGATTTGCTACAGGTGAGCTCAGACTGACTCTTTACTGAATCTTTAGTAATTCTTTACAAATAGACTCCCCGTTTGAATCAGTGAATCTTCAGTAATTCATTACAGACTCAGTATGACTCAGTGAATCTTAGTAATTCTTTATAAACAGACTCGGTTTGACGTATTGTATCTTTAGTAATTATTTATGAACAGATTCCTTTTGAATCAGTGAATCTTTAGTAATTTTTAAAAAACAGACTCAGTCTGACTCAGTGAATCTTTCATAATTCTTTATAAACTGACTCGGTTTGACTTATTGTATCTTTAGTAATTATTTATGAACAGATTTAGTTTGAACCGGTGAATCTTTACTTATTCTTTACAAACAGACTCAGTCTGACTCAGTGAATCTTAGTAATTCTTTATAAACAGACTCAGTGAGTCTTTAGTAATTATTTATGAACAGACTCAGTTTGACTCAATGAATCTTTAGTAATTCTTTATAAACAGAGTCTGTGAATCTTTTGTGTGATTCCTCATAAACACACTCACACTGACTCACCAAATCTTTTATGTGATTCTTTACAGGCATACTCAGACTTTTGTGAGATCCCTCACAAACAAATTCAGCCTGGCTCAGAAACACCTCCCCACAAGCACAATATGACCTCTTAAATCTTTTGTAATTCTTCATAAAAAAAACCTCAGGTTGATTTACCGAATCTTTTGTATGAATCTCTACGAGCAGACTTGGAGTGACTTAGTGAATCTTTTGTGTGACACTATAAATACAGACTCAAACTGACTCAGTGAATCCTTTGTGTGGTTCTTCACAAACATCCACACAGATCAGCTCAGTGAATCTTTTTCATGACTCTTTGAGTGAACAGGCTCAGTCTGACTTCTCTGAATTCTCTACAGATCCTGATCTATTCAGGGAGCTTTCAGTGGGATTTTTCTACAGGCTGGCTTTGATCGGCTCGGCTGAGTAAGGGAGGGAGGCCCTGCCTCAGAGCGCGGAAAAGAAAAGCTCAAGAGCTCGAAAAGAGATCAGTTAGTTCAATCTAAAGTAAACCTTTTAAGGGGCCTGCTGCTGCGTGTGTATGTGTGTGTAAGACAACAATCTGCATTTCATGGCCAGAATTAATGTAATATGGAACTACTGGCTGAATTACATTAGCGTGTTAGCAATAGAGTCACAACCTGGAGGTGAAAGTCTCCCCCTGACACGTTTTTCTGATTGTATATAGCTAACAATAGGGTTAGGATCTCTTTGGCACCATATAGAGGGGTACAAAGCCCTCCAGCATTGGGCTGTGAAGCCGTGTAACTGTGTTCTCTGGAGTTATGGAACTCCATCCAAAATCTTATGGATGAGTTGGAGTGATCCACCAGCATCAGTACCTGACCTCACTAATGCTCAATCAAATCCTCACAGCAATGTTCAACATCTAGTGTTAAGCCTTCCCAGAAGAGTAGAGGCTGTTAGCGCAGCAAAGGGGGACAAACTCTCTATGAATGCCTTTCGTTTCAGAAGAAACGCTGAAGAAACAGGTGCCTACAAACCTTCGGACCTGGTTTTCATCTACAGTTTGTTTTATGGTAGATAAGAGCCACTCTGGTATTTGGGATGGGTCTAAAATCATATTTTTGGTAAACAACAAAACTGCAGCGTGTAGAGTTCCAAGGACCGGAACAGTGACCTACAGTGACCCTGCTAAGTATACAAACAAGGAGGTCACAAAAACAAACATCCAAACAGAATTCCAGAAATGATTGTCCCTCCTGGCTATATTTAACAGCTTTTGGAGGAAACCCAGCTGTCTACCTCATCAGTAGCTGAGCTATTTTTTACCTCCTCAGCTGTTTGTATATCTGTTTGAAAATTTTACGGCAACTCTTCTTATGATGCCCTGAGGCAGGCTGACCTCCAGGGGTCAAATGTTAGCTAACTTCTTAGGGTACCATCAAGGTTGGAGAGCAGCTGACAGGTGGGCCTTCAATACTAACACATGCACAGACACAGGCTTCTATATATAAGTTTTAATAGGGCATGTAAGTGCCTGGGGAGACAAATGAGAAAGACTGAAATAGAGACTGAACCAGAAGCTGGGCTAATGAATACACTAGTGCATTACTCAAAGAGAGAGAGCAACCGACAGAGAGAAGAGAGAGAGAGAAGAAAATATTTCTGACCTGCACTGACCCAAACGTACCAGTGAACTGGTACTGACCCACAATCATCTGTCCACACCACAACACCTGACCCACACTCACCTGTCCACAACATAACACCTGACCCACGCTCATCTGTCCACACAATACCTGACCCAAACTTCCTGTTTTCTTCTTGTTCACACCAACAATTGACCCACAGTCACCTGTCCACAACATAACACCTGACCCACTCTCACCTGTCCACACCATAATACCTGACCCACACTCACCTGTCCACATCACAACATCTGACTCTCCCTCACCTGACCCACACTCACCTGTCCACAACATCTGACTCACACTCACCTGTCTACTACAACACCTGACCCACACTGACCGGTCTACTACAACACCTGACCCACACACACCTGTCTACTACAACATCTGACCCACACTGACCTGTCTACTTCAACACCTGACCCACACTGACCTGTCTACTACAACATCTGACCCACACTGACCTGTCCAGACCACAACACCTAACCCCCACTCATCTGTCTACTACAACACCTGACCCATGCTCACCTGTCTACTACAACATCTGACCCACACTGACCTGTCCAGACCACAACACCTGACTCACACTCACCTGAACCACAGTGACCTGTCTACTGCAACATCTGACTCACACTCACCTTTCCAGGCTACAACACCTGACCCACACTCACCTGTCTACTACAACACCTGACCCACACTCACCTGTCTACCACAACACCTGACCCACACTCACCTGTCTACTACAACACCTGACCACACTCACCTGTCCACACCACAACACCTGACCAACACTCACCTGTGTGCTGTAACATCTGGCCCACGCTCACCTGTCCAGACACCTGATCCGCATTTGCTGTCCACAAAACAGTTGACCCACACTCACCTGTCTACTACAACATCTGACTGACACTCACCTGTCCAGACTACAACTACTGACCCACACTCACCTGTCTACTAGAACACCTGACCCGTACTCACCTGTCCAGACTACATCACCTGAACCACAGTGACCTGTCTACTGCAACATCTGACTCATACTCACCTGTCCAGACTACAACCACTGACCCACACTCACCTGTCTACTACAACATCTGACTCACACTCACCTGTCCAGACTACAATAACTGACACACACTCACCTGTCCAGACAGCAACACCTGACCCCTCCACACTGATGCTCACCCAAGAGCACATGTATGAAGAAGTGGCCTACACAGCTATATTATGAGCTTGTTAAACAACTGAAGAACTCAGGCTATGTTCTGTGGTCACTTAAAAACAACTGAGTTTTGCAGGTAGCGCATTCACGAGCTGGTTCTGAGCATGTTTCTAACAGTAGAAGATTCAGTTTAGAACGGACAAATGTTTTTTTTCATGTCAAGAAATGTCACACTTGCTTCTCTCCATCCCTTTACTTAGCCTCTGAGATCAGGAGGCCACTCCTCCCTCCCCCTCACTTTCTTTCCTCCTTGCTCTCTCTCTTACCTCATGGTGTGGATGCACTCCGGCTCTTTAGTGAAGGCGTAGGCGTAGCCGCTGGAGGTCGTGCCAAAGTCAATGGCCACGACAACAACGAAAGAGTGCCCCGCTGGCTCATTCTGCTCTGCATCCTTCTGCAGAAAGAGACAGACAGAGACAGAGAGAAAGTGAGAGAGAGTCAGTGAGTAGGAAAGGTGACTACATGACATTTCAGTCTCTTTATCCAAAGGATACAGGAACTTGGCACAACTGAGCCCACTTATTTTTTCATATATGAATGCTGTGTAACTTTAAAGCGACAGCCCAGCCAAAAATGTACACAGTGTTCCCTCTTTTACTCTTATTGACCTGATTATGTGGTTTCTGAGACTGAATGACCTACTGTTATCCAAAAACATGGACAAAAGTACATTTCCTGTTAGCAACATTAGCCTCGTAGCACCAGTGTAAAACTAAAGAAGCAAACTTTGGACACCAAATATGTCTGAACTTATCAATTACATTTGGGATAAGAGGGGGAAAATTGGCAAATTTAAATTGGGGCTGACTTGTTGCTTTAAGGGATGTCCAATGCTAACTTTTCAAAGCTTTAAGGATCTTTACAAATGATCAAATAAAACAATTAAAACAAATAAAAGTACAACCTTGTACTTCCACTCACTGGCCACTTCATTGGAAACACCTACTCTGTACTTCCACTCACTGGCCACTTTATTAGAAACACCCACCTTGTGCTTCCACTCACTGGCCACTTTACTGGAAATACCAACCATGTGCTTTCCTCTCACTGGCCACTTTACTGGAAATGCCTACCTTGTGTTTTCCTCTCACTGGCCATTTTATAAGAAACACCCACCTTGTACTTCCACACACTGGCCACTTTATAAGAAACACCCACCTTGTACTTCCACTAACTGGCCACTGTATTCGAAACACCTACCTTGTGCTTCCACTTACAGATCAACAAATCAGCTGTGGTCTTTAACTGTACATGAGTAAAGTGGAGCTACAAGGTCAGTGTCTACTATTCATCTCCTGTATGATTAAAGATCATGGAGAAGCTCACCATTATGTGTGTTGGTGAGAGAGGCGTGATGCCTGGGTCGCCGATACTCTTTGCTGGCGACGGAGCAGCCATTGCATCTGAAACACATAAAGAGATATGAAATTAAGGATTACAATATAGACTGACACACATATACGGTGCATATCAGTACTCAAACTGGTTCCAAGCTGTTTTGCTCAAAAGGTACACTTTGTCCACTTTGTATACAAGCCAACAACAACCGCAGCAACAGGCTGACGCAGTAAACGCGGTCAGTACCCTTCCTCTAGTCCCTCCTCCAGTCACACGGTCACTGGAGACACATTTCAGACTGATGGAAACGGCAGGCTTCAACAACCGTACGTCTCATTGTCTACTTAAGATCAGATCACTGGTGACGAATGTTAAAGGGGAACTCCACCTATTTTTTTAAATGTCTGCATAATTGAATGTTTAAGATGTAAACAAAGTCATTCAGGAACCAGATGTCCGCCTCTAAAAGCTCCCTCACAGAAGGTTATTACATAAAATGGTTATGAATATGTTGCCTCATGTCCGAGACGCTGTTTTACAAGCTTTGTCATAAACTGTCAAAAACATATTTTAATCCATTCATGGTGAAGAGATATTTGAAGGGTGTTCCAAAGCAAAATAATCTCATATTCAGATTGACCACTATTTTACCACCATCAACGCTGCTTAAAAAATACCAGAAGACACATGTAGGTTCACTGGTGGTTTTGGACCACTGTGAAGTAACCTGAGTCAGTAAGTCTGCAAAATGAACCATTTCACATCAAACCACTGTGAATGACTTTGTTTACATCTCAAGCTCTGAATTATACAGAAATTTTGAAAAAATGGTGGAATTCCCCTCTAAAACTAGTTGTGAACAGGGCTCCAGTGTCAGAAACACTGTTTGAGATTACTTAACAACTCCACACTGGTGATGATTTAGACATACAGTTAGCGTGATGCTAACCGATGGGGTATAAGCTTCCATTTATTTTAGCTACATTAGCCTTGTAGCACTTGCGCAAAACCAAAGGACTATATTTGGTGTAAAAGGGGGAAACTGGCAAAATATTGTGAAAATGGATGGAAAAAAAGAGAACCAGCCAGTCTGCGCACGGCAAAAACCACACTTAATAACTTTTATAACAACGCTTTAGCTTCACATTCTAGATTATCGGACCATAAAAAAGCATCAAATCCTTTAAAAGCTTTATACAAGCTAATGCAGGCACTCTTCTCCACGGTGACATTTGAATTGAATTAGAGTCTGTATTTGTCCAAAGCCATCATCCTCATTAGCGCGGTCTAATAGCCTCGCTAAACCACTCCACTACTGCGCGCTAACAGTAGCGCCAGGGGTTTAGCGCACGGCGGGACGCCGCGCAATCTCTCCGCTCCTCCAAAACGCTCACCCTCTTTTTCCCCCCAGTGTACCCCATGCTGGGCTTAAAGCGCGGCCCAAGTCATCACCGCACTCTTTGGGCCGGTAATTACCGGGCTGAGCGACCGGCTACCTGCGGCTAACGCTGCCTTTCAGCCGGCTAACCACGCCGTCATTGATTTCAAAGGAAAAATACAGGACAATGAGGCATAAAAATCAACAGAGGAGGTGTAAAATGATTGCCTGTAATGATAAATGTCTGTAAGTGGAGTGTTACGTGCAGAAACATGCCTTTTTTTCTTATTCCACCCCCCCAAAACCCCTTCTTTTTGCTCTTCAATGCAGTTTTTCAGGTTAGAAAAGAATGCGAGTTTGTTTATGTGGCAGCGATTGAGCGCAGGTTGATTACGGGCTGTTTTGGGCCGAGCCAATTACGCTTAAGCTTCTTTTGAATCAGCTGACGGCCATTAAATGTCTGTACATTATTGTAGAAGCGGCAAAGAAGATGAGAGAAAATAAAACGTGAAGTTAAAGAAAAAACAGTTGCGTAGGTACGCTAGGTGGTTTTAAAGGTTACTGATGGATCTGCGCTATGTAACTGTATTGATTCGGCTGATTTTCTTGCTATTCAACACATAAAGGTTTGTTTATGAGGAAGAAAGTCTGTCAGCAATTTAGGCCAACAATAGCAACAATACAGTCGGGTAACACAAACTGTCCCGATCGAAGAATGTCAGTTCTTTTTCGACAAGTTGGTTTACTGTTGTATAGAGACGGCGTCTATTTTAGAAATGAGGTGTTCTGTGTCACCCGGCACAGAACAGGCGAATCATTTAAGTGTCTGGCCTGCTTTTGTAACACACCGGCAGGCAAAATGAACTGTGATGTGTAGCAACATTTTTTGAGGGGAATCTATCTATTCTATTCATTAGGAAACACAAGGGCAATTCGACTGTTTTTAAACGTTTCTGTATAATTCAATGGTTGAGATGTAAACTAAGTCATTCAGAGTGGTTTGGTGTGAAATGCTCTGTTCTAGAGAAACTTACAGAGTCAGAATTGTTCAAAGTGGTGGTGATAGGAACCAGACGTCCACCTCTAAAAGCTCCCTCACAGAAAGTTATTACATGAAATGTTTATGAATTCACTGCCTGATGTCTGAGACACTGTTTTATGATAGTTTTGAGAAGATTTTGCCTTAAAAGATATTTTTTATATACATTTATGGCGGAGGGATACATGTTGGGTGCTGTGAGGCAAAAGAGTACCCAAAGAAATCTTATTAATTTCAGATTTATCACTATTTTACCATCATCAACATTCCATATAAAACTCAGAAGACACATGTAGGTTCACTGGTGGCTTTGGATAGTAAATAATATGGCTATATTTGTGTTGTAGACTTGGCAACCCCTAGTTTCTATCACCACCGTTGAGATCAGGGATGTGAGAATTGATCACCGATGCGAGAATTGTGAGCCGAGGCCTGATATAGCTGATATTTCTCATGTACATAAAAATGAACCTGGATTAACATCACAGAGAAATTGAACATTTATTTATAAGTGAGTACAATATGTGATCAAGTGTCGGTCTGAAATATCAGTCAAATCCACACAGCTGTCTGACGCTGATCCTTTTATTTTAAGCAATTATCTGTCATAATTAATATCATTATGATATCATTGTGCATCTCTGCTGACTCCACAATGAACAATTTCACATGAACTCACTTTTAATGACTTCCATCTCAACCACTGAATTATGCAGTAATTTGTTGTATGCAATAAAGCTGTTATAACTAACTTAAAGGGAAATACCACCTTTTTTTTACAATTCAGTGGTTGGGATGTAAAAAATAGTCACTCAGAGTGGTTTGGTGTGAAATGGTTCATATTTTTTACAGTGGTGGTGATAGGAACCAGGGGTCACCTTGACTACAACACAAATATAGCCATTTTATTTACTTATTATTTTAATACGTTTTCTATGGGGGGGTTATTTTGCCTCATAACACCCTGCATGTATCCCTCCACTATAAATGGATTAAAAATCACTTCAGGCTAAAATCTTGTCAAAACTATCATAAAACAATGTTTCAGTGTATTTATAACCATTTAATGTAATAACTTTCTGTGAGGGAGCTTTTAGAGGTGGACGTCTGGTTCCTATCACCACCACTGTGAACAATTCTGACTCTGTAAGTTTATCTAGAACAGAGCATTTCACACCAAACCACTTTGAATGACTCTGTGTACATCGTAATGCGTGAGTTATGCAGAACGCAATGTTTGAGCACCTCCTGAGTGTCGGTGGATGTGATAACGGTGCTGCTGATTTCAGTCTGTGGTCTGATGCTGTATGACCGACTTTGAGGCTCTTGCTACAGACTGAGACAAGCTGAAAAAGAAGAAGAATGGGGGTCTTAAAATAGAGCATGCCCCCCAATGAGACACGGCCGCTTCTGGCAGTGTAAACAAAGGAGGAGCAGTTGTAGAGGGAATGGAGAGATGCAGGAGAAGATAGAGTATCCTGTTATTTTTAATCCTTCCCTACATCCTCAGCAGCCAGACAGGGGATGAATGAACCTCCACACACACACACACACACACGTGGTTCTGGAGTGTCAGACACACACCGGAAGGAAGCAGTGGGGGTCATCGCTTAGGACTCTTCTGTGGAATTCCAAGCAGTTCAAATGCATAGCAGAGATGTGGAAATGGGTTTGAAGCTGAAATCCTAAGCAGAATATACGTCATATACACAGTGATCTCATTCAGAATGATGCGCCTTTCCTGCATTTGATTGTTTCAGATACTTTACATCGAAAAGAACGTGTCATAACGTGCTGTAAACTGGCGAGAGACGATGCTATACACATTACTGACACATCAGACCACCACGCTCTCCACTCTCTCCTTCTGGACAGACTTGAGCTGAGAGGCAACCAATCATATTGAGGTGTAAACAGAGTGATTCAGAGTGGTTTGGTGTGAAATGGTTCAAAAGTCTTTACAGTGGTGGTGATAAGAACCACCATGACTACAACACACATATAGACATTTTATTTACTATCCAAAACCACCAGTGAACCTACAAGAGTCTTCTGAGTTTTATATGGAATGTCGACAATGGTAAAATAGTGTGAAATCTGAAAAATATAAGTTTTTCTGGGGGAATATTTTTCCTCAGAACCATCTCTCCACCATAAAAGGCTTAAAAAGTACATTTTAGGTCACAATTTTCTCTCAGAACTATCGTAAAACAATGACTCAGACATCAGGCAGTGTATTCATTACAATTTCATATCATAACCTATCACCACCACTGTGAACAATACCCTATCATAACCTATCACCACCACTGTGAACAATTTTGACTCTGTGAGAACGGAGCATTTTACACCAAACAACTCTGAATGACTGTGTCTACATCATAATAATGGAACTGTGCAGACATTTTGAAATAAAGGCAGAATTCCCCTTTAACTTAGTGTTTAATGGAGACCACGTGAAACGCAGCAGGGGCAGTCATGAGCTGGAGGTAAGGGAACCAGCCTTGTGACCGGAAGGTTGCTAGTTCGATCCCCTGAGCTGACAGTATGTAAATGAAGTGCCCTTGAGCAAGGCACCTAACCCCCAACTGCTCCCCAGGTGTGATGCGACCAATCAGGTTGTTGCTATTTGGCACTGTAACAGGTCA